GTTGGTATCAGGGGATCACAGGTTCAAACCCCACTGCAGTCAGCATGTCGTTGTGTCCCTGAGACACTTCACCCCAAATTGCTCCAGTGGGGATTGCCCACAGTATTGAGTGTGTAAGTCACTTTGGATAAAAGCGTCTAACAAGTAACATGTAATGTATATGTCCCACCCCTTCGCCTATCAGGTGCAATGTGTTGGAGCACTTGCCAATAGAAGCGCGAGTGTTACATAGTGATGTCATTAGGTTACCGAAGCAAATTAAAGAGTTCAATGGAGGTGTTACGGGGGAGGGGGAGAGACACTTTAGGATTTTAGCCTTTGCAGACCATTTACATGCACACAAACCTATATAACAATGTACAGTGGGCATTGAGGGTTCTTAAAGTAAATGAATTAATACCACTATGTAGAAATGTATCTCAATCTATGATAGTTATTATTTAAAGTTATTAACTGTGGACATTTCATGGTGATATCTTTAAGTTACATTTTTACTACAACTGCACGATTTAGAAATAAAATGGATTATTTGGACTGATGATATCATTGATATTTGTAAGATATTAAAATGAGAGTGAGTCGAGGAGCACTTTTTCTTCCACACATTCTTTTTATTTGTAAATAATAAAAATGAACTTTTTTTAAAATATAAAACATACACATCATTTGAGCCACATCTGTTATACAAACAAGTAATGTTGCAGTGAATGCTTTACTTTTTTTCTAATTTTCTTTTTGTTTCAGTGGAACACAGAAGTTGTAAACAATCAGCGATTTTTTTCCCGTTAATACTGACAAAGAAAAAAGAAAGTTAAACCAGCTTCACCGGACGATGGAAAGAAAAAGTCGTTCTGAGGTGAACATGGCCGGGTCGATCAGACGTTTGAAGCACAAAGAGTGTTCAGACATGACGTATTATCTCCTCATTATAAGCCCCTCTGCAAGTGTCACTCAATGAAGACCCGCTGAATGGCTGTTGAGTATTCACACGATATGACTCTGTGCATCTGTATTCATTCTTTATATAACTTAACATGTGTTAGCATATCTGAAATCATTATGTTGAAACATAATTCATATTTCCATAGATCTGATTTGTACATATTTATTCATGTCAGCCGCTTGGAGGCGTACTATGAGAGGGAGGGGCTGCAAGGTGTGCTCAGTTCATCTTCCAGAGCGCGGAGGAAAGACATCAACGTAATCGTAAAGTTTGAGACATTCAGCACCGGACTGAGGGTGTGGACTGCAGTTCTTTGCGTAATTGGAATGGCTTCGGTTTCTTAGTTTGATCTCTTTAATATTCAAGTACGAGCAAACTGTACAACTGCATGCAACATACAAGCGGCCCTACAGCATGTGGAACTAACACACGTATCTAGTTCAGTTTCTTTTTTCCGTATCTGTTTTTGTTTTACAAAAAAGTGCATGCAACTGGCTCCAAAGACATGCTGGCCCCGCCCCTTTCCCCCAGTGGGAGGAGTCTGCAGGCCGAACGGAGGATGAGCATTGGTATTCCCGGCCAATCGTTCTGATTGGTTACTTTCACAGAGACGCACGAGGGAAACTGTGAGCTCCTTTTTCTGTTAGTTGTTTTGTTTCCGAAAACAACCAGACAAAATAAATGAATGGAACCAGTGACGGGGTTGTTTCTTTTTTTCTTTTTTTAACTACGTGTTTTTTTCAAAAAGTTAAACTTTTTGTCGTAAAAAAAATCAAGCTCTTGTGCTTGTGTTTAAATCTCAAAATTACATAAACTAAAAGGTAGGATGATAACGTGCTGGGGTGAGGGAATGACCTCCCCAAAGAATGTGAAAAAATTAGACGGCCCTATTTTGCTTTTGCTTTTTTTTTTTTACAGTGATCTTGAACCCTTGTGATATTTCAAAGTGACATACATTTTATTTATTGGTCAACCTCCTAGGAGGCCTAATATACATCTATACAAAGACAACTGGCCTGGACGTCAGCCAGTGGTGAACAAGGAAAACAACGCTAATCTCACGGTGTAAAAATCTAAGCTGTGTCACCATCACCAGTCCCCCCCCCCTGCATAACACTTGCAGACATTTAATAGTTATTTTTTCTCTCTTGTGTTTAGTTTTTTCTCTCCATGCACACACCAGACTGACAACATTATCATGAGCATTTTACGTACCGTAAAAACATTTTGTGCCGGTAGTAACAAAGGGAAAGAAACGAACGACAAAGCAAACACGCGAAACAGAGTTAAAAAGAGGAGGGGGGGACCAGTGATGCAGCTCCGAGGTCTAGGTACCAGAAGAAGGCCCTGTGCTTCCAGACTGATACCCCAGTGGGAGCACCCTGACAGGGGGGCAGGGTGCGGCAGTCCGTCTGGGGTTCTGGAGGAGGCCCCCACAGAGATGCCTGGCCCCCTGCAGGTGGGGGGG